ATTTTTGAAGATATGTCTATAAAAACATATATATTTTTATAATATTAAAACAGATTTTTACATATATACATCAATATCGTTCATAAATTCAAGAACGTTTGTGATCTTTTCGTTTTTTATTAAAACTTAAGTATTTTTTTCGAAAAAAAGTTGTAGAGAAGTTTTTGAAAATGCAATTTGAAGAGGAAAAATGGAGGTTTTTTTTAAACACTGATGTTTAAATTTTGTCTCTACAATATTTTGTATCTAAATTATGTAAAAAATCGTAAGGACAAAAATGAAACGTCAATTTAAATCTATTATTCTTCTTTAAATGTGTTTTTCAAAATTTCTATATGATTTTTTTCACCGAAATACTTAAGTTTTGTAAATTACAAGAAAATCGCAAATTCCCAAATTTATATAGTATTGTATATCAATTATTTATATGAATATGTTATTCATATATTTTTCATGTTGCTTACTTCATTACAATTTACAAATTTTATCCTCGCTACATTATTATTAATAATTTCTTAAGCATATTTTTTTAATTAAAAGGTCTTTACCAATGCCAAGAAAGGGTGCAGTATCAGCACCATTATATATGGCCTGGTTGGAGACGCTTACGAAGGATATGCCACCCACGATTTTAGTCCGCGGAAATCATACATCTGTATTAACATTCTATTCATAGTCCACCGAGCATGGTCTAATTATATATGGTACGTCTCAATAATAATAATAAAGTAAGTTTTAATTAAAAAACTAATTCCTTATTTTTATTTCTTAATATTGATTATTCAAATTGCATCTTCTTGATAGAGATATAAAGATAATTGTAAAACTTTTGCAAATAGTCTTTCTTCGAAATGATTAAGATTTTCTATCAGCAATAATATAAATGTGTAATCATATGTTATATTAAAACGCTTTGTACTCGTTGTAGATATTTGTTGTCTGTTCCCATCAGGTTTCAAGAATGAACTTGCATCGTCCATGCCGAAATGAAGAAATGGACAAAACAATTTTTATCAGCTGACAGAAAAATAAAATTGTTGTACTTGAAGATTGTAATGATAATTATAATGAAGAATGAGGAACTTTACTGGAGTTCGATTTTTAGTATGACGCAGCAAGATTCTCGTGTGGAAATTGAATGATGAATATGACTTGAATGTCGTATATAAAGAGTATGCTGAAGATTATTAGCAAGTTATATCACAGAAGAGTCTCTTAGTAGAATGAGCGAATATTTTATCTTTACATCGAATGATGAATAGAATCGAAGACATGTTCCAAAAAAGTCTCACTTTGTTAAAGAAGCAGGTAGTGCGAAAGATGCCAACAAATAAATTTTGGCAGAAAAACTAGAATAATAAAAGTAGAAGCGGTGAGAAAGACATAATAATGAAATAGTGAATATTAGAAAATGGGAAGAAGAATAAATGGAATGAAAAAATCAGGAATAATATTTTATGGAAAGATTCCATTGTATCTGAAAAAACTTGGATTAGAAATATGTAGATATATGTATTATTGTAAATAACTTGTCTATTTTTTATTAAGTTTAAAAATGTAATAAAGTTTCTCTAAAACAATGTATAACGTAACTATTTAAAATTTTAGACATTATTAAAATCATTTGAAAAAAATTCTTCTAAATTCTTGACTTAATGTAAAGACATGTGGTACGATTTCCTAACTGAAAGAAATATTTTTTATATTTTAAATGTTATAAAAATTTCGATATTAACTAATATTAAATCTCTAAAATTTAATAAAAACTTGAGAATTTATTATAAAAATTTGCAAATTTTTTATGATATAATCAATACTCAATCATAAAATTCTAAACTAGTCTCTATAACTATGTAATAGTCTCAGTGTCCAGGCTAGCACAACACAAATCAAACACAATCAAAGATCTCGACATAACGATATTAAGAGCATTTTACTTTTAAGCGCGATCTTTTGCGCTTGACTTTTCTGTGTTAAGATAATTAATCGGATTTGTGGTGCTTCAATGTGAACAATACTTATATCTGAATTGTGCTAAGCTAGCATAACATAACACAACTCATAGAATTCGATTAAATATATATATATATCTGTCGGCGTTTGCTTATACGATTTCGAATTGTTTTTTTTTTATCTACTTTATAAATTCTTTGGAATGAGATATTGGAATTTTGTCGACAACATGACACAAATATAGCACAATACCATCATAATTTTGAAAATTACAAAATTCGAAAGTGCGGGGTTAGCAAAAATTTGATTTTCTAAATTTTTTAAAAAACTTTTCGTGTTAATAGCGATTTGCAGCACAATTAAGAAAAAATACAAAATTCGAAAAGTAGAGAATAAACTTTATACATGTCAGATGGCTATGGTTTTGTAATCAAAATCTTATCTAGTTTGTCAATTTGCTAGCATTTTGTTTAAAATGTACAAACTCGATAATTATGAAAAAATATATACAAATATCAAAGAAATTTAAAAAAGCATATACAAATTAATAAAAAAAAAAACAAAGATTAATATGTCGCAAATTTTTGCGGGATATGGAAGATCTGATTCAATGAATAAATATTTAAGAAAAGACATGCAAACATAGTGATAAGAGAAAGAGAGAGAGAGAGAGAGAGAGAGAGAGAGAGAAGGGAAAAATAAAAAAACAAAAGATATTAAAAAATAAAATAAAGTAAAACTATTTTTCTTAAATTATAGCCGCGTTTAGCAAAAAAAAGCAGCTTTGCAACTATTATAAAATTCTTTCATGTGAATAGTTTATACATTTTATATAGATTTTATATAGAATAAGGACAAAATCATTAAAAGCAAGACCAATCATATTAAAGAATTTTACAATTTACGAGTTACTTTTTCTGCTGAATGTAGCCAATGAGCATATTCAAGCTAGATAAAGCTGCTAGCCTACTTGCCGATTGAATGTGATTGAGATCTATATATAAATGCAATAATCATATTCATTCGCTCGGCGATACTTGGTGAGCAGGTTAGCTACTACCCGTTTTGTCGACTTGAATACATCCATTACCTCGTCGATAAATCCAACAAACGAGAATGAATTAAAATGGATTGAAATTTTTTTTTATCCGAATGCGTATTTTAAATAGCGAATATTTTTTTTTGGATTTAATTGGATTAAATTAAATTCAATTAGATTCAATTGGATGCAACTGGATTGAAAAACTGCATTTCAAAATTTTGAATTGAATAGTATGTCCTAAAAAGCACAGAAAGATTGCAGAATAATTTCATTGAAATATTGCAATATTGCATGATGGTTGCGAAACGTTGCTGAATCATTATTGCAAAATTCCAACAATGTTAAGATGTGTGATCCGTTATTTGTAATATTGCAACGAAACGTTCCAGCAATATTACAATGTAATGTATTTGGATAAATTTTTTAAACTATAAAATGAAAATTATAAAATGAACGAAAACTATAAAATGAAAATTATTTTCTGTACATATATCTCACTAACTTCAATTTTTCTACAAATCGCATTTCTAGTGATATGTGCTTTTCAAAAGCAATTTTTTATGATAAAATTATAAAATATTTCAATAAATATAGAATTAATTCTGAATGATAAATTTATTCCCAAGGATAAAGCATGTATATGTGCATCCCGAGTAAATATTATCAATCACAAATATTATCCACATTAACATAATAATACAGTCGCTTGATAAGTTAATCATGAATTAAGTTAATTGCAGTGATTCTTTTCAATTCGAAGCCACTCCGAGTCAATTGAAATCAACTAAAAAATGACGGTATAAAATTTATCAATAAAATTCGGGCGCTGATTTATTCTTGCGTGCATATTAGGCATAAATACATCATCGATCACATAATTAATATTTCGAATAAATCGTTTTCAGCAGCTTAATTGCTTATTGTCTCATCCGATAATGATGCATTGATTGTATCCAAACTCGATATTATACAATCATTTGATTCATATTAAAATAAATATAAAATTTAGCTAATGATCGTCAAATGGCCGTCAATTAATAAATTGATAAATGTTTTTATTTGAAATATAGAAATGGATTATATTAATGATTATATCATAAAAATGACTGTTAAATTAAAAGACTATATTACATAAATATTATAAAAAATTATATTTTTATATTATTATAATAACAATTAAAGAATTACAGTTTTGTAATGTTTCTGGAATATTACATGCAATGGAATATTACTGACACATTGCAGCATTGTTAATTTACATTTCTGTAATATCTCTGCAATGTTACATTGCAATCTGCAATATTATAACATTAATAACATTGCAGCAATATTGCTTCAATCTTCTGTAAGGAGTATGTGTTATGCACAGAAAAAGCTAATATTATTTTTAGATTGAAAGGCATAGAGATATGCTCCATGCAATTCCTATAAATGAATAAAAATGCATTCAGGATTGAAAAGCATTCATTTCAATTCATTTCAATCCATTCTCGTTTGTTGGATAACAAGCATATTACTAGAGAGAGTTTCTCTCTGATATTATCTATTGAAAATGCTCGTAAAAATGGCTATGTAGTTCAAGACACATTTATGTACATAGAGGCGCCAGTGGACGGATTCCTTTAAAGTCACTAGATTTATGAAGTACTGTAACTGTCCACCATGTTAAGTCCAATATAGCGGCAATTTCAAACTGATATATTGGGATGAATTTGTGTAAATGACGGAAGATATTGAAGTATTAATCAATTGTATTTATAAGCAATGTTTATCGTTATAAATAAATACAACTGATTAATGTCTTCCGTCATTCACACAATAAATTCATCCCAATACATCAGTTTGAAATTGCCGCTATATTGGACTTAACATGGAAGATAGTTGAGATACTTTATAAATCTAGTGACTTTAGATTCCTTGATTCTTCCACGGCTTCCACCATCCACCATCCATGGCACTATGTGTGTGTGTGTGTGTATGCGCGCGCGCGCGCGCGCGTGTGTGTGTGTGCCAGCTTCCACTATCTTCTATCTATCTAGAACGCGAATGGGTTTGTGGTCTATTCAATCTATCAAATCTCGTTCTTTCTTTTATTGCTTATAATTACTTGTGATCAAACGGCACATGACGTTCTGAAGATGGAGAGAGGTAAAATTAGTAAAATACTTGATATATCATGGAGATTTGGAGGTGAGACAATAGTTGGATTATAAATCATTATCGCTTGTTACATTATATTCTTAAGTTATTCATGTCACATTAAACTTTGAACGACTAGTGTGTTATATAAATTTGTATTAATTTTTTATTAGATGTATTAAGTAAAAAATAAAAATATTCTATTTTTTAAATGTTGGTAATATACAAATTATATATATATTTCCATTTTAAATCTTACATTCGATTAACTTCAGTAGTAAACAATTAATAAACAAAATAATATGATATAATTTGATATAAATTATACAAATGTTATTTCCAAAATTGTAATCTTATAATAGATTATATATTCTCACAATGTGATATCAATCTCATTAATGAATAACTATGATATTTTTCAATTCTTTTAGTGACTACAGCAAGTAATGATTGCGACAATGTTGCTAAGTCATTTCTACAACTTAAGTTATGTCTTGAGGATGATGGTATAGTCAAGAATGTGTTTACTGAAATGACAATAGGACAATTTTACAAATTTCTACATGATTTAGAAAAGGCAAAATGTAATATTGATTTGTTGCTGTAAAAAAATATATACAGATTAAGATATTATATGTAGATATATTAAGATGTATTACATTTCCAGCAATTGTTTTTGAAAAAATGTTTTTTATATTTTCTTATTATCTGATCTTTGTTATTTAAAACAAAAATATTTACTATCTTAAAAATTTAATTTAAAAAATTTAATTTATTTCTAGTAAGATAGTAATATTTTAACATTCTTTAAATATCATTCGCCAAGATTCTAATCTTAATATTATTCATTTCAATAATTAAAACTTACAATATATTCCAGATAATAAACTGACATCATTTGTTGTCATTTTAATATTAAAATTTAAGATGTCATTTTGATATTAAAACAATAAATAATGCTATCTGGGATGATTTTGTTTATAAGTAGGAAATTATAAATTAAGTTACATAGGAAACTACAAATATTATTTGAATTTTTACTTATAAATTTTACTTATAAATTTTAATTTGTATAAGATGTTTAAGTGTTGTATTGTATGTTTAAGTGCTGAACTAAACTGGAGCTTGAAGAATGAGAATTTTTCTTTATAAAACAAAATTAAATAATTTACAATGTTCTATATTCTAACAATGTTCTATATTATAATTATGAATTGTAGTTGTTAAGTGCAATCCAATTTTATTCCTTATATATTTTTTTAATTTTCATCTATCATAGCTGCAGTTTAGTACAATTTT